CTAGAAGGGTGTTCCGGTCAGATAGTCTGATGATTACGAGGCGAGCTTTCGGAAAATTAAGACTGCATTGACTATAGCTTCGGTGTTAATGTTGCCCTCCACATCAGAGATATATATTGTGTATTGTGATACTTTGCGCGTTGTCTTGGGTTGTGTATTGATGTAGGAGGGGCGAGTTATTTCATATATTCACGTCAGCTGAAGCCTCACGAGATGAATTATCTTGTGCACGATTTGAAGTTGGCCGCGATAGTTCATTCCCTCAAGATCTGTGTCTTGCGAGGTTTACACTGATCATCACAGTTTGCAGCATTTGTTTAAGCAGAGGGATCTTAATCTGAGGCAGTGCAGGTGGCTTAAGTTACTGAAGGATTATTATATTACTCCCTCTATTTCAAATTAGATGAGGTAGTTTAACTTGGCACGGAGTTTAAGAAATAAAAGAAGATTTTTGAAACATGTGGTCTTAAAAACTTAAGGGGTAAAAGGTTTATAAGGCCATGATATTTGTATGGTATAAAAGCTTCTCATTAAGGGTAAAATGGGTATAATGAAAAGTTTAAAGTTGAATTATTTCAAAATTTAGAAATGTGTCATTTATTTTGGAATAGACTAAAAAGGAAAGTACATCATTTAATTTGAACAGAGGGAGTACTATCCGCTATCATCCGGGCAAGGCGAACATGGTCGCGGATGCCTTAAGTAGAAAGGCCGAGAGTATGGTTAGTTTGGCATTTATTTCAGCAGAGGAGACGCCATTGGCTTTAGACATCCATTCCTTATCTAATCGACTTGTGAGGTTGGATATTTTGAGCCCAGTCGAGTTCTTGCATGTGTTGTGGCTCAGTCTTCTTTATTCAAGCAGATCAAGTCTTGCTAGTATGATGATCCGCACTTGTTGTTCCTTAGATAGACGGTGCTACGGGGTGATGCCAAGGAGGGTACTATCGGCGATGATGGTGTTTTGTGACTGGAGGGTTGCTTATGTGTTCCTAATGTTGATGGCCTAGGGAGACGATTCTAGAGGAAGCATACAGTTTCATCCAGGTGCTATGAAGATGTATTATGAACTAAAGCAGTATTACTGGTGGCGGCGGATGAAGAAGGACATAGTTCAGTATGTGGTAAGGTGTCTAAATTGCCATCATGTTAAGTAAGAGCACTAGAGACCAGGTGGTTCACTTCAGCAGATGGTTATAACGGAGTGGAAGTAGGAGTGCATCACTATGAATTTTGTAGTTGGGTTGCCGCATACGTTGAGGAAGTTTGATATTGTTTGGGTGATTGTCGATAGACTACCAAGTCTCCACACTTTATTCTGGTGGTGACTACGTACTCTTCAGAGAGGTTGGCCCTGATTTATATTTAAGAGATTGTCCGGTCACATGGTGCGCTTATTTCTATCATTTCAGATAAAGGCCCTCAGTTCACTTCACATTTCTATAGAGCATTTCAGAGTGAGTTGGGTACCAGGGTAGAGCTCAGTACAACCTTTCATCTGCAGACCGATGGGCAGACGGAGTGGACAGTTTATATTCTGGAAGATATGCACAGAGCATGTGTTATTGACTTCGGAGGGTTGGTCGAGTTTGCTTATGATAACAATTATCAGTCCAGCATCGAGATGGCTCCATTTGAGGCTTTATATAGTCGGCGGTGTCGTTCTCCCGTCAATTGGTTTGACCCCGGCGAGGCTAGGTTATATGGTACTGATTTGATAATGGATGGCTTGGATAAGGTGAAGTTGATTCAGGAGGGACTTCGTATAACACAGTCCGGATAGAAGAGTTACACGGATCAAAAAGTATGTGATTTATCATTTATGGTGGGTGAGAAAGTTCTCTTTAAAGTCTCGCCGATGAAGGGTATCATGAGGTTCTCAGGAATTCTCAGAGATTGGTAGAACTCACTTGGAATTGAAGACAAAAATACTTTTCTTACTTTCCAAGATTTTGCCTTTAATATCAGGATCCTACATGAAGTTTGTTGCGGAGATACTGGCCAAAGACAGGAGAAAATGTGAAGATAACTCTTCCAGATGAAGTGTGTGTCATTCGACAGAAATGACATTGACATGCATTTTCAAAAAATGGCAAAGATACTCTTCGAGATTGGTGGAGACATCAATATAAAGCAAGCCTTTGTCTTTTCCCTTCCAAAATTGTTGGCAAGCCGAACCATAACCATCATTGAAGAAAAGTTTCAGTCTATAACAATCCCGCGAATTGGTTACATCAGGCAAGCTATTTTCATCGCATTGGATGACATTTGTACGAAGCGTTATGCCCTAAAACAAATTATCCAACACAATCCAGCGCTTGACAAAGCATGCCGCAAATCTGATCTAATCACCGGATCAGGATGTTCCTGCCACACATCTAGGCGACGGAGAGAATTCAGGAGGTTCAGATGGCCAAGAATTCCAAACGGGAAATTAAGGTCCAAGAGACGCACAAAATATTTCAGACGTAGAAGGCCAGGAAATTTTGATGAGAGCATGAGTCCGAGGTTTATTGGCCAATTTGAGGTATTGAAGTAGGTTGGGGAGGTTGCTTACGAGCTTGCCTTGTCTCCCAGTCTATCAAGAATTCATCCTATTTTGCATGTGTCTATGCTCCGGAAGTACCATGCCGACAGGTCGCATGTGTTAGATTACAACACAGTTCAGCTATATAAGAGTTTGGGTTATGAGAAGGAGCCAGTTGCCATTGTTGCCAAGCAGGTCCGCTAGTTGAGGTCTAAGAAGATTTCAGCAGTGAAGGTATAATGGAGGGGTCAACTAGTCAAGGAGGAGACTTGGGAGATCGAGGAGGACATGCAAAGAAAATATTCATACTTATTCGGTACTCTAGGTATGATTCTAGACTTGTTCGAGGACGAACGTTTGTTTAAGCGGTGGAGAATGTAACGATCTGACCGGTCGTTTTGCTTTATAGGTCCTTGTTCCCCTATTTAAGACTTCCCATATGTTCTTTTACTATTTTATAACTTTCGGGGATGGTTGGTTTGGTTTTGGAAGGGTTCAGATTGAATTCGGAACACTTAGTTCTATAATATTAGACTAAGGTTGCCAAGTTTGACTTGAGTCAACATTTTTAGTAAACCACCTCGGAATCGGAATTTGAGTCCAATAGGTTCGTATGATGATTTTGGGTTTGGGCTTATGTTCGGATTGAGTTTCGGGTGGACCGGGAGCGTTTCAACGTTTATTATTGAAAGTTGGCATTTTGATGGTTTTAGAATGATAATTCCTTTGAGCTATTTACTGTTACTGTCATCATTATATCTTGTGTTGTCATTGATATTGGTCTCTGACTGTTTTATCTAATCTTGTCATTGTTTTCAGCCCAAGGTTAGATTTGCTACATATTGAGTACATGAGGTCGGTTGTACTCATACTACACTCTGTACTTGGTATGCAGATCCACGTACTCTGGACGTGTTGATTGCTAGAGTTGTGTTGGTACCAATACTTGAGAGACTGCAAGGTAGATGATATTACGTCTGCAGACCTTGAAGTTCTCTTTCGTTTATTTCCTTTGTTAATGTTTTATTGTCCAAACACTTTATTGAGGAATTTGCTTTGTATTTTAATATTTAGTAGCACTCATGTACTCGTTGACACCAGTATTTAGGATGATTATAGCAGTATTGTTGTTGTTCATGAGACATTTCATGAGATTTCCGTTGTTGAGTTTATTAAACCATGTTTTATTCAAATTCGTTGTTATTGTATGGCTATTGGCTTGCCTAGTAAGTAGTATTAGGTGTCGTCGCGGCTCGCGTAGGAGTTGGCTCGTGACAGTGATGGTCGGTGGTAGTTAAGTATGATGGTATTGGGTGGTGCACGGCGGTCGGTGATAATGGTGGGAGATGGTGATGGTTAGTAGTGAATGTTGATGATAGCATCTTAATGAAATTAAATCCTTGTTACAGATCTTAATTATAAAAAATATACTTAATGATTAAAATTTGAATAAAATTCAAAGTTAAAAAATAAAATTAAGAAAACAAATGAGAGCTAAATGGTTAGGACCGAAATGTAGGATAAAATAGACCAATTAGTCAGTCAGCCTTTTGGTCATTGATACTTCCATCTTTTATTGGCTTTCACAGACAATTAGATAAGAGATTAGGTAAGCTTCTTATCTATTGAAAGAATAAAAAGAGAGAAGAAAGAGAGCAAATTGCTTTGTTAGCTGCAGGACACTGGTTTCCGTTTCTAGGGATTTGAGGACTTCCATCACTGTACAAGTTAAATTTCTATCGGTACGAAAGTAAGCTGTAGTAGCAACAGATTTTATTGTTCAGTTTTCTGCAGTAATGGCATTGCACTGTACCTAATATTGCGATAGTGTATGAATTTTGATCAAACCACAAGTAGATGTTGACTTTGTTCTTTCAATGCTAGGAAAGAGAAAAGTATTGAGTTATTATTATCCTGCAATATTCTCCTTTAGCTGATTAGCATCTTTGGTTCATAGCAACTAGTAAATGGGTCTCATAAATTTAGAAGAAAATAACGATGTTCAACTCTTCTACTTGTTTTTTTCCTAGCAAAAAACGTTTGAAAACAAATAATGAAAGATCAGATGAAAGGAAATAAATTATTTCATTATTTCATTTCAGCCGCCCATCTGTCGTCCATTACAGGAAAAACAGGAAAAAGATGAATTAATATGGTCATTGTTTATTAGTACTACTAACTTTTGTTCTTTCACATGAAAAGAAGTTCAATCAGAAATGAACAAAGAACATTATTAAATGAGGTAGGAAAATACCAATTAATCAGTCTAGCTACCTTTTAATCATTGCTTATATCTCTCACATTGAAAGGAATGCAATCGTTGAGACCATTCAATCCTTGAGAAACTAGGCTAAAGACTAAACTGATCAACTTTCTTCATCACTCCTCCAAACGGTGTGTTCTGATTCTCCTTCTTATAACATTTGCAAAATACATTCTTAGCTTACTTAATTCTTATGCTTTGTTAGTTGCAGGAATAGCTGGTTGGCGTTTGAGGACTTCGTTCACTGTATTAAGGTGTTTGCCGTTGGAGTTTGTTTGAAGTTAGATTTCAACCAATACGAAACTAAGGTGTCCCTCTTTTGTTTTTGTTCGTCTTATTAGTTCTTTTTCATATGTATAGTGATGTTAAAGACTCAAACACCACAATGAAACATCAAATTTTGAACTGAAAAGCTGTTCAAATCAACAGGTTCAGTGATGATAGAATTCAACATCAAACCTAGCAGCATACATGTTTGCAAAGTACGACTAGAGTCTTGAAATTTTGTAAACGCTTTCACATGGTTGAAAATCCAAACCGTACAGTATTTCAAAGTTATAGAAAGAGTTCACGGCTGTGACAACACACTTCTTTGACCATATTTTAGATTCTAATGGAAGTTTCATCCCTCATTAGCTCTTTGGAAATTGGAAAACAGATAACTGTGAAGCTATCCATCTTTGTTTGGTGTATGGTTGCAACATTTAGGTCATTGATGCACTTGTAAAGAATAAGATTGGCGAAACTAGAAATACTGGACTATTCGATGGTTAGGGGGTAATGGAATCAGTAAAATGCCTGAAATATGTTTGAGTCAAGCGCTGATTTAAGATAATAATTTATCACTTGCAGGATTTATTAACTATTAGAGGAAACTGAAAAGGTGGAAAGGAGATGGCCGAGGAGTGTCGCAATGTGATAGGTGCCATAAACCTTGTGAAGGGCCAGCATTTAGGTAGACCGACCATTAATCAATTGGACGATGCTACAAAGCACCTAACGCATGTAGCTGTATTTCTCACGAATCTGGAGAAGTGCTACCCTGGGAATGGGATATCTGGACAACTTAGGTCCCTATTTCTAGAAGCTCGTGATGGCTTTTCTGAGATGTGTTCTCGTTTTCCCCGTTTCAACCTTACCAATAAAATGGGGAACATTGCTGAGAAATTCAAAGCTTCAAAGGCATCAAGATCAACTAGCCAAATGATTTCCGAGGTGCTGACAATAATTGAACATGAGACTATTGCTAAGCGAATCAGAGCTTCAAAGCCATCAAGATCATCTAGTCGAATCACTATGGAGATGGTGGGGTTTGTTGAATCTTTGCTTGGTTCTGTTCATCGCGCTCTGTTCTTTATTAGTGTAGGGCCTGCAGCGTCTTTGCTTGACAAGAAGCTCCGACATCTACGAGTCTTCTTCACATTAATTGCAAAGCGGTGCATTGAGCATGAGAGTATGAAGGATCTCTTCACCCATGTTGAGGATGTAGCTTACACTGCAGCATACCTATGTTTCTTGGGGTCGAACTGCAATATGGATGGTGAGTTCTCTAAATTGCTGGAAAGGGTAAGTCGTCCCTTTAGCCCGAATTGAGGCAGATTTATCAGAGTGCCTTGATAGGGTTAAAGTCATCAAGCTCTGAGACTACTACAATATTGAATGCCAAATATATACTTGATTTTGTTAGTGCTTTCCGGGAGGATCTAAGACTTAGATGTGATGGTCGAATTAGGTGGCCCCAAAGGGGACTTTCTTACCTTTCTCGATTTTTCAGGGACATAGAATCTTATCCCCTTCCATGTGAAGAAGTGATTTCTCTTCGATTAAATATGGAAGCTCTGGCCATTGGGGCAGCAAATGCTATCTACTCCTCCTATGATGAGGAAATGCACAACACTACTGAAATAGACGATGTGCTTTTTCATTTGCAACTGAAGTTTAATTATGTCAAGGTGGAAGTCGATCTGATTCAGCTACTAACCCGTCAAGTCGCCATCACAATAGGTCCTATGAAATCTCTGATTGACTATGTTTGGAGTGAGCTGATATTCTTTAGAAATTATTTCATGAATGGATTAAAGCAGTGTAAAGAGAAGACTAAGATAACTGTTATTTTGACCTCTATTCAATCTGCGATTAGCCAAGCATGGTCAGTCTGTGATTCTCTTTGTCATGACTTGGAGCAAGAAAACTTTTTTTCTTATGATACGCATCAAGAAGACTCTTTTTCTTATGATACGCATCACGAAGACTCTTTTTCTAATGATACGGAGCAAGAAGACTTGGTCAGAGAAATGATTAATTGCTTGCATTTTCAGTTGCTTCTTAAATTCAAGTTTATTAAGGCAGCGATTAGACAGATGTATCCCAGCATTTCTGCATCATCAACATTAGACCATCCCACAATAAGTCTGCTGAACTTTCTTCCTATGAACTTTGAGGTCATTGATTCCTATTTCAGCATGCTAAAATCCTCCAATACATCATCTTCACATAGGCCCATGATGGATGAGGTTTCATGAATATATTCTCGAAAATCTGCTACTGAAGGATGAAACCAATTTGACGTTTACTATTGCAGATGAGGTCAAAAGGTTTTATGGTGGGTTATTGCTCCTGGTAACATATCTTATTGAACCTCTAGTTCCTCAAATTGAACGTAGGAAGCAAAATAATCTCTCGACGGGATTTGGAACCATCGCAATTGAGGCGCAATCTGCTATGTGTTTATCTTATGAGGATATTATGAATAGCAACAACTGTAGGGAGGTCAATCTTGTTCTTCAATTTTTGACTGTGGCTTTCTGGCTTATCAAATCTGAGGGAAGCTTGATGGATATACTAAAGTACAAAGCCACTTTGGAATATCAAGTTCTGGATCTGATTGAGGGTGCTCGTGAAGAGCTTATTTTCATTAGATCTATTCTCATGGATCTTCTCAGGCCACACAGAACTTAACAGATTGGATGATATCTTAATGCATGCTGAAGTGACTGTGAAAAGGTTAGCAATACTCAGTGATTCTTGTTATGAAATTTTCCAGGACGGAAGCAGCACTGACATAATGAGGCTTTGGTTATCTGATGCTCTACGAGAGATTGAGTCTATCAAGGTAGAGTTCAGAAAAGTATGCTTGCAAGTTCTGGATGTATCACCTTTGACCATGACAGATGGAGAAGGCCTTATTAATTTCTTATTAAACCACCAGGACAAGGTGCCGAACAATGATGCTGCTTCTTTTAACGAAAGTTTCATGGATGGAAGCAGCAGTGAGAATATGGAACTTTCATCATCTAATTTTCTAGGGGAGATTGAATCTGTCAAGGTAGAGGAGGTAAAAAATGCATGCAATCAAGTTGTGGATGCATCACCCTATGAGATGCATAAGACAGATGGAGAAGGCTTTATCAATCTTCTGTTAACCCAACAGGACAAGGTGCTGGACTATGATACTGGTTCAATCTCTTTTCTGCATAATCAAATCTCCGTAGTTAAAGACAAACTATTGGACATGGGATCTTTACTTGTAGATATTGTACAGTACCGCAATATGCATCTTGAACTCAAAGATCTTGCTAAACGCGTTCAAGATAAAAACTACATTTGTTTCTTCTCCATCAAGGGGTATATTCCTGCTTGGTATTACACATTATATCTCTCTGATGTCAAGCAGTTGCTTAAGTTTGTTGAGGCAGAGGTAAAGACGGTTTGTCTGAAAGTTCCAGATTCTTCAAGTTATAGCTTCCCCAAGACAAATGGACTAGGATTTCTCAATTGCTTTTTGGGCAAATTGGAGGAGCTTTCATGTTCTAAGCTTGATTTGGCTGTTGACTTAAATCATCAGATTGGATCAGTCAAGGAGGGCTTACTGTATCTAACATCATTGATTGATCATTTTTCAGAACACTATGATGAGCATGATGAAGTTTATGGTCTTATAACAAGTGTTACTGTAATGGCATACAAGGCCGAGTATGTCATTGACTCGTGCTTGTCCTATTCTTATCCACTCTGGTACAAAGTTCTTTGGATTTCTGAAGTTGTTGAGAATATTAAGATTGTAAATAAAGTTGTTGGGGAGACTTGTGAAAGAAAGAAGATTGAAGTGACAGCGCATGAAGTTGCAAAAACCTCCACTAATCTTGCACCGTCATTTTCGGATAATACTCGAAGAACAAACAAAGAAATGGAGGGTTTCCAGGATACAATGGACGAATTAAAGGAGCAGCTACTTGGAGGATCACCTCAACTAGATGTCATCTCAATCGTTGGCATGCCAGGATTGGGCAAGACTACAATTGCAAAGAAGATTTACAATGATCCAACAGTCACCTCTCACTTTGATGCCCATGCTCAATGTCTTGTGACTCAAATATATTCATGGAGGGAGTTGTTGCTGACCATCTTGAATGATGTTCTTGAGCCTGCTGATCTCAATGTAAAAGAAGATGGTGAATTAGCTGATGAGCTACGCCGATTTTTGTTGACTAAGAGATTCTTGATTCTCATTGATGATGTGTGGGACAACAAAGTGTGGGACAATTTACATCTGTGCTTCAGAGATGTTCGGAGTGGGAGTAGAATTATTCTAACAACCCGGTTGAGTGACATTGCCAATTATGTTAAATGTGAAAGTGATCCCCATCATCTTCATTTGTTCAGAGATGATGAGAGTTGGACATTGTTACAGAAAGAGGTATTTCAAGGGGAGACCTGTCCACCTGAACTTGCAGATGTGGGATCTCGGATAGCAAGGCGTTGTAGAGGGTTGCCTCTCTCAGTGGTGTTAGTAGCTGGTGTTCTGAAACAGAAAAAGAAGAAACTAGATTTGTGGAAAGTAGTAGAAGAAAGTCTAGGTTCCCAGAGCATTGGCAGCTTAGAAGAGAGCATGTCTATAATTGGATTCAGTTACAAGAATTTACCACACTATCTTAAGCCTTGTTTTCTCTATTTTGGAGGATTTTTGCAGGGCAAGGATATTCATGTCTCAAAATTGACTCGGTTGTGGGAAGCCGAAGGGTTTGTACAAGCAAACAAGGAAAAAGGACAGGAAGATGCCGCACAAGGTTTCTTGGAAGATCTTATTCGTAGAAATCTAGTAATGGGCATGGAGAAGAGACCCAATGCCAAGGTAAAAACGTGCCGCATTCATGATTTGTTGCATAAATTCTGCGTGGAAAAGGCCAAACAAGAGAATTTCCTTCTCCAGATCAATAGGTAAAAATAACTATACTAATATAATCGTATTATGTTTTAATGTTTATCCCAACTCTAATTTTCATGTGTTTTCTTTTATTTGGCTCAGTGGAGAGGATGTGTTCCATGAACAGCTGAAGGAATACCGATTGTTCATTCACTCTTACCAAGATGAAATTGATTTGTGGCGGCCATCTCGCTCAAATATCCGCTCTTTACTATTCAATGCAATTGATCTGGATAACTTGTTATGGCCGTGTGATATCTCCTTCATCTTTGACAGTTTCAAACTTGTTAAAGTGTTGGATTTAGAATCTTTCAACATTGGTGGTACTTTTCCCAGTGAAATACAATATCTAATTCAGATGAGGTACTTCGCTGCTCAAACTGATGCAAATTCAATTCCTTCATCTATAGCTAAGCTTAGGAATCTTGAGACTTTTGTGGTTAGAGGATTGGGAGGCGAGATGATTTTACCTTGTTCACTTCTAAAGATGGTGAAATTGAGGCATATACATGTAAACCATCGGGTTTCATTTGGTTTGCATGAGAACATGGATGAATCCCTTTCTCACTCTCAATTAGCTAATTTGGAAACCTTTTCTACTCCACGGCTCTCTTATGGTGAAGATGCAGAGAAGATTTTGAGGAAGATGCCAAAACTGAGAAAGTTGAGTTGCATATTTTCGGGGACATTTGGTTATTCAAGGAAAGTGATGGGTAGGTGCGTTCGTTTTCCCAGATTAGAGTTTCTAAGCCACCTTGAGTCCCTCAAGCTGGTTTCCAACAGCTATCCAGCTAAACTTCCTCACAAGTTCAATTTCCCCTCGCAACTAAGGGAATTGACATTGTCCAAGTTTCGTTTACCTTGGAACCAAATTTCGACCATTGCAGAACTGCGCAACTTGGTGATTCTTAAGTTATCTCTCAGAGCTTTTGAAGGGGATCACTGGGAAGTGAAAGATTCAGACTTCCCTGAACTCAAATATTTAAAACTGGATAACCTCAAAGTTGCACAATGGTCTGTCTCTTATGATGCTTTTCCTAAGCTTGAACATTTGGTTTTAACGAAATGTAAGCATCTTGAGAAAATCCCTTCTCATTTTGATGATGCTGTATCTCTAAAAAGCATTGAGGTAAACTGGTGCAACTGGTCTGTTGCCAATTCAGCCCAAGAAATTCAAACAACACAACGTGAAGATATGGCAAATGATTCATTCACAGTTACCATACAGCCTCCAGATTGGGCTAAAAGATCATCTCCTTGACTCATATCTGGTATGTTCTTGCCGTTTCATCTGAGTACGTTTACACTTATTCATTTTTCTTTTACGCCAGAACATATTTGTTTTGCTAGTATTATGCTTAGTACTAGTATTACTTAATACATGTATCAAATAATTAAGAAATCGAACTCATAACTTCTGATGCAATCTTAACTTTTTCTTGGGCTTATTTGAGATCAAAAGTAGATCTATGGTTCCTGTAACTTTTAATTCACGTTTTGATTCAATTGCCCTGGCACAGTTGTCAAAATGATAATATGTTATCCCTAGCCTAACTTATTATGTTTCCTTTTAAGTGAAAGCGATGTCTATGTTTCTATGAAGTGTTTTTGAAATTTTTGCTATAAAACTGATGAATGGCAGGCTTTGGTTTTTGTCAGCTCAACTCTTGTGTTAACTGCAAGTATGTTTAGGGGACAGTTATATCTTATTCAGACCACAAGTGGCTGAAGGAGAAGCTTAAGTAGTTGAACACATGCACTAGAAGTCGTATTTAGAATTACTGTGGTTCTAGAAAAGAGTTCTGCAGAAATTTTATGCTTTTTCAGAAATCTTAAGTTTCTAGTTTGAAACAGCAGAATGGGAGCAGAAATTTTTGCTCTATGAAACAGGGATGGCAGCATTTTCAAAATGGGAGAGTTTGATCCAAATCTTATGTTGTACGACTACCACACTATCAATGTAAAAAAATGAGATTCTAAGAGTGGTACATGTCAGATTTCTGTGGACACAAGAGGTTCCAAGATTAAGACCATCCATGTCCAAGGCATTGCAGATGCTAGTAAAGAAAGTAGGAAGAGTTACCTGTACCAACTAATCCTCCCTTTATAAATGAGAAAACGGCGGAGAAGGTGATTCAGCTTCAATTTTCCACGATTTCTCACAGTTCTTCTAGACGATGCTTCAGTGGCCTCAAACTGAGACGTAACATAAATCTGTGATAGAGTGAATCTGTGCATCTCAAGTATCTTCTTGCCTCTTGTTCCTCTTTGCACACTCTGGAAGCAGATGTTTCGTTTGCAACAAGTTGCTTTTATCATTGTAATAGTGAAGTGTTTGACAAATCCTTGGGCAGTTTATTGTTGTTACATAAGTAGATGGACATTACCAGGAGAGAAATCAGAGAGAGTAGACTGCACAATTAGAAGATATACAGAGTGCTATTTTTGAAGAATGAAGGTGTTGATTTTTGCTCATTCTGAATCATCTCTGTATAATCTTCTTCTGTAATTGTTGATTCTGGTTTATCCATTAGTCATTTCACTGAGCTTTTTCCTATTTTGATTCATGAAGATTCTTGGAAGTATCTGCTTTTGGCTTGAAAATTACACCAAATCTTTACTAGAACCCCGAAGTTCACTAAAATCCGTTACTGCTTCTCATTCAGTTTTGGATGTTCTATCAAAGAATAAAAAGAAACAAGTGTGGCAAATCAGTTATCACCTAAGCTATTGACCATTTGGTGTTCTGATTCTAATTATGCCATCTTGGTTTAAGAATGAAGCTGCTGTTGTTGTTGCGAGATACATAGGCTTGGGCAATCATAATCCAACTCCACATATGTCTTAATCTAACAACTATATTTTAGTTTCCCAAACAGATACAGAATTCCATGCCAGAAGGAGATGACAGCTCATTGAGTCTGAAGATTGACTAGTGTTCCAAAGCCTAATTGATTTTTTGCATAAACAAAGCACACCACAGGAAATAATGGAGTGTTCTCTGTAGCCTTTTATTAAGAAAAGCTTCAGTGAAAAAGAGAAGCTGATAAACCTGTTAACACCAGCCAACTCGTAATCATGTATGACATCTAGAAGCTACCTGCTCGAGATGCTGTAACTTTTCACGAGTTTCTCCTTGATCATATGCGTCCACCTCTTGTCCATCGTAGAATTGAAGTACCTTCTCAGTCAATTAGGTGCTAAAGTACATGTGCTCGCCCTTCATATTTGGCTTCTATTTTAGTGTTCCTTTATGTGGTATTTCTTTCATATTGATGAAGAAGAAGAATCAAAATGTTGCAGGTTTGTAGGATGACTGGAGTGCTGACAGTTGCTAAAAACAAATTCCCATATTAATGGATCCTTGACAAACAAACAAACGTCCAAAAGGATGCAGCTTCACTGTCTCAAACCTATAACTTGTTAGGAGTAACATTTCATGAGAATGGGAAATTATATTTGCACCATTAATACTGTGTAATTGAAAGAGAAAGTATCAAAATAAATTAACCATATTACCGAACTAACTCTGCCATCCCTATTGCCAATTAATGGGAAAAAAGGGAACCAAAGAGGCTTTGATGTTACATTTTACTTTATTTCCCAGCCAGCAATTCTGCAGTATCTCAAACATATAAAACATCCAGAGAAATGTGAGGGCCCATCATCTCAGAAGAGGTATGCAATGCCAACTTCCTTTTGCCTGTTTACAAGAAGAAAATGGATTACCATGCTTTGGTTGCGACATCATGAGGGAACGTTAAAGAATTATGTTATCAGGTCGTCCCGAAGGCTGCAAATTGTTCCATGTTTTTAAAAGACTTTTCAGTGACATAGTATTAATGGAATGACTTCATATGTATGAAGGAATTCTTAGAAACCATATACAACATGTGAAACAACCGGACACACCCAATAAAATGAAAAGAGGATCTACAGAAACTCGCAGACTAAACTGTTATGAAAACAAAAAAATCAATCTTCATATGATACACGAACAAAAGGGAATTAACAAACACCTAAGGACAGTATGTACCATTTTCACTTAGTTATCTACCGTAGGACTTGACCAATTGCGAGAAAACCCTACTCATCATCAGAAAGATCATCCGAATTTGATGAGATCATCCAGATATTAGAAGCAGAAGCACTGGCATCAATATGACTGAAATCATTGACTTGCGGAGAGAGCTCGCCAATCCGGATGGTACTGTTTTCTTCAGGATTATCATGAATGGTAGCCTCTTGGAGATGAAGTGCATACTCCAGACTCCACAGCACATCACCCATGGATGGCCTATCTTCACCAAACTCAGCTAAGCATTTCTCTGCTGTTTCTCCAAACTTCCTCAGGGAATCTGGTCTTATTTTGCCCGCAAGTTTGGGATCTATGATTTGTTCCAGTTGTCCTTTCTTCTGCCACTTCATTGCCCATTCAGTTAAGTTGACCATCTCCCTCGGAAGAGATGGAGCTATGACAGTCCTAGCACAAAGAACTTCTATAAACAACACCAAAAGAATAAACATCAGATTTTTCTGTCAGCTGTTGCCTTCTAAAATATTCAGGATCAAGGTAGCCAAAAGTGCCTTTCACGACTGTGCTAGTATGGGTTTGATCAAGCTCAAGCCGTGTCTTGGATAGTCCAAAATCAGTAACTTTTGCCACTAAATTCTCATCAAGCAATATGTTTGCGGACTTGACATCACGATGTATAGCTGCATTGGCATAGCCAGTATGAAGGTAGTGCAGACCTCTGGCTGCCCCGATGCATATCTCCAGCCTCTGCTCCCAACCCGTACTGGGTAGATCTGACCCATACAAATGACTCTTGAGGGTCCCATTCTCCATGTACTCAAAAACTAGAATCATCTCGTCGTTTTCATCACAATATCCAATCAATGAAACCAGATGTGGATGGCAGAACCGAGAGAGCATCACAATTTCTGTTTGGAACTCTACAAGACCTTGTTGGGATGCAGAATTAAGCCTTTTCAGGGCCACCTTTGTGCCATCACACAAAACACCCCTGTAAACATTTCCAAAGCCACCTTTTCCAATGACCAAACTCTCATCAAAGTCGTTAGTTGCTTCCTGCAAAGCTGCAAAAGGAACTCGATAATTTTCAATAGGAATGAGATGACTCCAGGTTGAAGCAGCACTTATGGACGTTGTCCCCTTTGAATGCTTGCTTCCCATGGTATGTGTGGACTATGGAGTGCCACCATTAATAGATAAAGGAATCCATGTCTTTGACTGGGCAAGCTACTCCTGTTTTCTTCTTCTATGAATGCAAATAAGTTGCCAACCATCGCAAAGCAATTGGTACACCTACCCTCATACCCAGGGCGGATGCAAATATATGTGTAAATAACATGCAAAAAAGAAAATACAGTACAACTAGAATAAAATGACACCGCTTGTCATCACCCTCCCCTTGGCCTGCGGGTGAAGACCGTCTATCCTCTTAGAGAGGTCGAGTGTTCGATCCTTGGTGTATGACGTGTTTTAACTTTTTGAGCCTTTTGTTTAACTGCATAAAAGAGATGTCAGCGAGGCTTGAAATGCTGACCTCATAGCAAGAGTTAAACAACTAAAACAATGGACCAAGAGCCCCTTTCGTCCGCAAAACTAATATTTGAAAAAAAAAATCAAACTGGGTTAACTTTGAAAAACCAAATCATTCTCCTCTTCAACTTTGCAGTTTTTGGGACCAAGTGTGCTACTTCCTGCCATTTCCATCGTGAGATTTTTTTTTCCTTCTTACTAGTTGGAATGTTTTGAAGACATCCATTGTTCTCTATTAGAGCGGGTTAGAGTCCAACATTGGGTGGGGAATGGACTGGTTGTCTCATTATATAGACTTGGGCAATCCTCCCCTATGAGCTAGCTTCTGGGCCTGAGTTAGGCTCAAGGGCCATATCTATATCAGACCCAAGTCCGTCCCTAGACCCCCATGTTATATTGTCCATGTTCTAGTTGGCAGGTATGGGTGTGCGAGGGATGGAGTGGGTTAGAGTCCCACATTAGTTGGGGAATGAACTGGTTGTCTTCTTATATGGACTTAGGCAATCATTTACTCGTGAACAGCTTTTGAGTTGAACTATGCCCAAAGGCCATATTTTCACATTTTCCTTTGTGGGTTGAACTATATGAAAATTATTTAAGATTTTTCTAAGTTGATATCTTAATTAGTCATTCAACTTAAATATCAACGGAGAGATATTTTTCTAAAGCATCTTCCAAGCTTCCGAATCCAGGTTCAACCTCTCAAAATTCATCCTAACATGGAAGAAGATCAATGAGTTGGAACAATTTCGACAAAGCAAAGGAGTTGACTCAAATTACTAAAAAGCTGAATTTGGGAAAAGATTAGCAATTCGAAAATATCATCCTAATGACCATGATGCAATAAAGAGAGCATATCTTCAAAATGTCATTTTCTACCGCGCAATCACAATATTTTTCAAAGAAAATTGTATGGTCAATTGCCTGGCTTTATTCCTCGATGATTTTGTTGGAGTATAGAGCAACAAGTGATTTGTTCACTTGTCACTTCCTTAAATGTCGAATACTGCTTAGAGAAAAATCTCACGCCACTGCTCACACCCACAATAACTCCGATATTTTTCTTTGCGCTTGAGCTAGGATTAGTAAGAACAGAAGCTACCTGTAAGGCTGCCCCAAGAATTATTCAACTTTCAGAAGTTCCAGTCCATTTAGAAAGGCGTCAAGATTAGCACTCCTTGGAGATGGGCCAAGACTAATGTTAAGCCTATTACTTTTAGAGGGTAGAGCAACATAAATATTATTGTAACAAGCAAAATCGAAAAATCAGAAGTAACATTGAACTCATGATCGGAAGGTTTCAAAGTTCAAAACAGAGATTATAAATAAATTAATAAAAATTAACCCTAAGAAGATGGTTGCAACTATAATTGAAGCTTTGAGATGAAAACGCAAATACGTAAACAAAATAGATGCTTGAGTAAGTGGATTTTACCAGAACAGTCGAGATTGGAGAAGACGAAAGAGTGCGAAGTGTTACTGTGATTGCGTCTCTCTCTCTCTCTCTATAAGAGATCTATGCTCTTTACTTATTAATTCTTACATATTTATACATTTGGAAAAAATCAACTTCGAACTTGTTAATTTTACTTTTATATTCATATATAATTATAGCATATTTAAGATCAAAATTTTAAAAATATTTCTTTCTTTCTTGAACTTCCTATTAATTCAATTTATGCCAAAGAAACAAATTATAACAAAAAGTGTACTCCCTATATGTCTGTAGTTTTTAAAAATAGCCGTCTCAAATTAATTATCATTTTAGAAGTTCAAAATTAAATTAATTATTTTTTCCTATTTTACCCTTAATATTAATTATTCTTGAATATTACAAACATCTCAATTATTAATAAATATTAAATAAAGAGAGATTATATCTTAATACATAAATAAGGGTAAAACAATTAAAAATCTCTCTTATTTAATATTTTCTTAAGGGACGTGTAAAAGAGAAACACAACAGATAATTTGAGATAGCGGGATTAATAACAAATAGAA